CTTAGATGTGTCACCCTTACTTCTATCTTAAGAACTGCTATTGAATTTCAAGCTGTATGTGACAAGATTTCTTTATTTTCTCCAGTTGATTTGAGCACTTGAAAAGACAGCCATGAAATGTCTTTAGACTTTATATTCACTTTGTCAAGATACATATTGTACTTTTATCAGGGAACACACTGCTGACTCTTTTATGAGCTGCTAGTTTTTTTTAGTCTATCCTTCCCAGGTGACCTAAAGGTCATAATGGTGGTAAATCCAACAAGGGTGCTTGAACTGCTCATCCTTGTAGAGGTTACCCCTTTCCATGATAATGCTGAAATGACATAGGGAGAGGGCAAAGGTTCTTTATCTTTCTCTCTGAGTCAATCCTATTGCCTGCCATGTAGATGGAGCCCAATATTTGTCAATAAATATGTTGGAATAAGAAAGATGTCCTATTTTTAGGACTGTTATTTAGTTTATTTCAATTCTGTAAACATTGTGAGATAGTATGCTATATGGTTGTTCCCTTGATGGGAAATTGCATTACTTGGTAAAGAGAGTATCACCCAAAATATTCATACAGTATCTATGATGTGCCCAGTACCATTCTGAGGGCTGGGGTTAGAGCAGAGAGTAGGGAGACAGCCATAGCATGCACTCTGCCCAAAAGCACAGCCCAAGGTAAAGGTCTGTTACAGGTACTTTGGAATATTATTCTCTGAAACAAGAATGGGAAATTAAAAACAAAAATAAAGCAGGGAAAAGGAGAAAGCCAATCCGAGGGTGCATTATTAAACAGTTGTACCATGGACAAATGTGTCTGGGCACCCTGTGAGGAGCCATGTAAAATACACCTTGGGATCATTCACCTAAGCTTCAGAAGAGGAAGGATGTATACACCAGCTCCTGTTCCCATGGGTCATGTGTTTTCCTGTAGGGTGTTGACTTTCATGAACTCCAGGGTTTTGCATGTATCAGAATGGATGAGGCACTGTGTCTCTGCTCCAGAGATGCCACCTCAGAAAGTGGGAGGCATTCGGAGCCTCTGAGGAAAGGTGCTGTCAGGTTGTGCATGTGAACAGCTGATTGCCTTCATAGCAGCTGGAACAAAAGGGCATCTTAGGAGGCATAACAGATGACAAATACACTAAGCCCCTGTCCTTACAGAGTTTATAGTCTAATCAACATCCAAATAAGAACATAAGCAATCTAACTTCTCATAGTGATAAGCACCATGAGGGACATTCAGCTCTTGATGTGACAGCCCCATGGCAGGGGCTCCTTGAAGCGTTATTGGCATCAGAAAAGTTAGCAAGGGAAGGAGAGGGCATTTGAATGACCTCATTTATAAAATGAGGGGGGATGTCTCTTCAGATTGAGAGAACCCAGTCAGGAAACAAGTCTGTGGAAGAGTATTTGAAGCAGAAAACTTGGCAAATACCTCCTGAGGTTTAATGAACAACGAGCTTCTGAAGGATAGAAAAGATAGAGGAGGCAGAACTATGGTGAATGAGGGAGTGTGGGATTGAGAGGGGAGGGGAGGGAACAGGGTCAACCCAGTAATGCAAGGCCCTGGCAAAGCCAGATCCATGTCTATAATATAAAGGCAAATTTAGAATCCACACTTCATAGGCTCCTATCCCACTTGATGCTGAGAGATCTCCTCTTGCCTAAAGACCTATCCTACTTCCACTTTTGACCCTGTGCACTGTGTCACTTGGGGATGTTTTTTGCAGCAAAATGCAAGTGTCTAAAGAGTAAGACATGGTTTTTATCGTTTATGTTTCTAAGTCACCTAGAACTATGGAACTTTGTAATCTTTTAAGATTTGCCACTCAAATATGTTTTTATTAGCACAAACATTAAGCATTATGGTTTCTAAACATTTTGGAAGAGAAACCTAACACTCCACAATGTGTGTGTGTGTGTGTGTGTGTGTGTGTGTAAGTAAAAAACAAAATGCAAGACAAATCAGTAATGTTTGAGTTAACCTCTATGAAAACTACAACAAAAGTAAATTTACCATTTTGTTCAACTTCCTATTTCTGAAAATGTCCTTTTCTCATTGAGGCTAAGTGTTTAGATGGAGCATAGAAAAAGTTTGCCCAAAACAACCAGTTATGGCTCGCCAGTAGCAGAAATAATGAGTGTCCCTGCTTCTCTTTGTAAATAATTGAATTTGCCTCTGAAGTTCAAGGAGTTCAAGATTTCTTTTTGTGTGTGAAACTGACTGCTTCTGCTTCCTCTTTATATGAGCAGAATATACTCTAAGACAGAAGAATGCCGTGCAATTGGGATTTGGTGAGCAGCGAGGATAATAGAAGAGATTGACATGACTTCTATAGGAGAGTTATTTTTAAGCTTAGAGAATGCCTATCCCCATGCTGAAAAGGCCTTTAGAAAATAATACTGGGATTGAAAGACAATGGAAGTAAAATTCCCATCATCTGGGAGAGCCGTGCCAGTCTGCAGGGTGTTGCTGCCACCTGCTGCACGAAAACAGCCATGGAGCAGCTGTCACCTGGGTCACAGCTGCAGGACACCAGGTGCCTTCAATTAAGATTCTGTGAGCATCTGAATTTCTTTTTCCCTCTCTTAGAGTCTGGGTGGGTCCCAAAGGAAAACTAGTCAGATCTGATGACCTCTGGCTGCAGAGGTTTCTAGATATAGGAAACATGGACCAGGCCCTGAATAATTACCCAGAGAAGGCCAATTTGCCCGGCAGCTACTGACCAGGTGCTTTGAGCCCCCAAACCCAATGTGAGGAAAGGATTCCATTAAAAGTGAATAGATAGCTCAGGAAAATATATGACGATTTCCTTTTTTTTTTAAAAAAAATTAAGGTGCTTTATTTTATATTTTCAATCTTTTGTGGAGTTGCTTTACTTTAAAGCAATAAAAAATAGGAGACATCTAGCCCTGGCCAGTGTGGCTCACGGTTGGTTAGAGTTGTTCTCCACAACAAAAGGTTCAATTCCCAGTCAGGGAACATACCTAAGCTCAGGGTTTGGTCCCCAGTTGGGGTTTGTACAAGAGGCAATCAATCAATGCTTCTTGTTCACACAGGTGTGTTTCTCTCTCTCTCTCTCTCTCTCTCTCTCTCTCTCTCTCTCTCTCTCTCTCTTTCCCTCCCTCAAATCAATAAACATATACTCAGACTAGAATTTTTTTAAGGGAGGAATCTAAGTACATTAAGTGGGGAAGGGTATTGTTCTTAGAGAATTCAATAAATGTACTTGTTTATACTTGTTTATTGGTTCTACTTAGGTAAATTCCCCTTCATCTGAGAAGTTGAGTGAGGTAACTAAATTTCTTCCCCAGGCTTGCAATGTGTCCCAATTTAGTAGAGATGCCAACCTACAGATCAGGATCTCCCTGGTATATCTATTGAACTGTTTTTACCTCTATAGTCTATCACTGTCATTTCCTGGGTTTTCTAAGGCAAATAAGGGAGAGATGAAGGCATCAAGTGCCATGATGTCTCCTCCTTTCAAAGACTCTAAACTTCCCAACTCTCTCTCTGAAATATGCTTGTCATCACCACCTAACCCAACATCTCCAGTAATCTGAGACTTAGTGGGGAGGTTGTTGGGGGGGGAGGAGGTAAATGCTTGCAAAGGCCTACATTAGGAAATGGGTAACTCATCTTCTGGCCTTTGCAGGAAACATCATTAGTAAGTAGTAATGAGTAAGTACGACAATTATGGCAAGTATGTGTACAGGGTAGCCTGGACATCCAGGAAGATGGTAGCCCTGATTCACCATCCGCAAATCTCTCTTCTCCCAGCTAAAATCTAATCCCCTCAATCACAAGGATGATGCCTTATGTCTTAGCATTATTCATAATCACCCCAAGTCCCTGAATTGGGGAGATCAGTATGCACTTAATGACATGATGTCATGATACATGATATTATACATGATGACAACCTGGTGAAAATTCTCTTTCCCTGGCCTCAAAAAGAAATTGTTACCTCACAAATAAAGTTCCACCTTTCCCTTTGTCTTTGGGTTATCTGGGTGCTTCCAAAATGTAGTAGTGAGATTGAGGTCACAGGATACTTCACCGATTGTCCATACAGTTGTATGTTGACACATATATTACTCATTTTTATTCTTTGTTTATTACACTTTGCAGTCTTCCAACTAATGCTGTCTTCTTAATGTTGGAAGGTGAAGATGGTCTATTTTATCCTAAGCTAGAAAACCATGAAGTCACATCTGTCAAGGGATACTCGTTATGTCTGAGGAGTCACTTCCCTGTTCTCCTATCTTGGTCCTCTGTAAACGGAAGTGACTGGGCAGATGTAACATGCTTGGTGGCTAGCTGAGGTAGGAACTTCTCTGCCTTTGCCTTCTGATTGTTTCAGACTTCCTCACTGTAGTTTGGGGCTGATACACAAGCTTTTATGCCATCACCACAAGAGGCCTCCCACCAGTACTGTGGGAGACTTCCCTGTCTAACTTCCAGTTCTTCCCAGACCAGGGACAGAAAAGGAGCCCTCACTCCCCCACCCTCAGGAAATGTGGGTTCCCTGCAAGAGGGGAGACAATAAAGTTTGTTTTGATAGTTGATGCTCCCCTCACTTTTCAGATTTTATTAAGTGTGTTAATGTTTTGTTCTTTCACCCTGGAGCAATTCTGGAAAGCAAATACATTTTTAAATTGAACAGAAAAACTATTATAAAAGACACGAGGCTCACATTTGTTAAATGACTTTGTGCTCCTGAAAGAAGTGCATGAAAAGCACATTATGAACTGCTCTGCGTGATTTCCTTTGGATTTAGAAGCAGCTCGACTGACACAGAGATCCTGATGGAGAGAGAATCTGTGGGTACTGAAAAGTCTTTTCACAAAGGTGATACACAAGGTTTCAGAGAACAATTTCAACTCTGTTCTGTTGAAGGTTATACTGAGCTCTGAACCACATTACTTTCCTGTCTACGTTTCATTTCCTGGGCTCTTGCCAAGTGATAAACACACACGGACGTGTGGTAGATTTGGGGTTTTCAGTGTGAATAGGGTGGCTCGAGTTTGTTTAGCTAAAGGTATTGGGTGACTTCTGTGATCACGGTGGAAATGCTGCTGTAAGCCCTTCAGGAGAAGATGGAGAAAACATGGACATTCCGGGCCATCTATTCCATCATCCAGATACATGTTGTCAGGGGTAAGGCTTCCAGTTGTACTTTCTTGTCAAATCAGCCACTTTAGGGGGTGAGGGAGGCCTCTTGCTCATTGAAGATGCCTCCTACTGCTGCTGAAACTGAGCACAAAGGCAGATGTTCCGAAGGTTTTCAGTTATGTACTTAAGCAGCAGCTAGCGGGGAGCTGTTAGAGTCTACAAAGGATTACTGAGGAACAATAAAACCAAGAAAGGGATGGGTAGTTTGTGCCACTGCTCAGAGACATTTTTACCCATTTCCTTCCTAAGAGGATCTCTGGAGTAACTGGGAAATTTTGAATCTTAGAATGAAATGTTCTCCAAAGGGTAGTCAGAACAACACTGGAATACTAAATAAAATAAAATAAAATAAAATAAAATAAAATAAAATAAAATAACTCACAAAGCCACCAATGTTCAGAGATCCTTGCTCAACTTTTTTCTCTCTTTCAACTATGATTCTTTTTTTCTTCTTTTGGATATAACAAGCATTTCTCCTCTAAAGACAAATGTTGTTGGCAGTTGAGCATATGTTGAATTTAATGAGCCATGTGCAGGTAACAGACCTGGGAGACATAGCAGGGTCCTTATGACAGTAGGAACCAAAGCCTAATGGGCCTATTTAGAATTGGTAGGAAGGAAGATTAGTTCTGTATCCCACAGCATGAGGGTACTATAGCGATCCTGTGTATCTTAAGAATTAACTCTGCTTTTCAAATAGAGCTACTAAGATTTTTAAGGAGAATTTCTAAATCAAAGGAGACTTTGGAATATAATGTGGTAGATAGGATCAGAAGCATATTATCCAGCAAAGGAGAGCTCACAGGGAGATATATTAAACTGTACTAACCTCTGCCTACCCATGCTTTTGCATCCATAAAAGTGTAATAATTCCTGTTTGTAAAGTACCTTTGAGAGCCTTGTTTCTTCTCAGTTGCTTGTCATCTTTTTATCTTTTCCCCTTGTTAGCTTCTGTGGTACTTGTCACAATAATATGTCATTTCTTTAAAAGTATTCCATGTTCATTCTAAAACTGAGGCCTACGCTATTGAAGGTATGTCAAAGATGCAATGCTTAACATACTTTAAGTCCCCTGTACCATTTGATCAGACAACTGATGGGAGAGAATCTTCTTTTATATCTAGCATCTAGATGATGCTAACCAAATCTTTAGTGGGAATTTTACCTGAGGTGTTTACTCCCCTTCCCCCCCGCCCCCATAAACTCTAACCACATGGAGATAAAGGCCCTTTCAATCCATATATATTGAGTGTCAAATTTCCTACCCTTCTCTGCCAATCTGGGGTCATTTTAGAGGTTACTTCCTAAGAGGTTACAGAAAGAGTGCAGATTTTAGGCAGCCCAATTTATATTCTTTTACTGAGGTGTGACTTCTAACAAACAACTTAATCTGCCTGTGCCTCAGTTTCCTCTTTGAAAAAGAATGTTAAGCCGAAACCGGTTTGGCTCAGTGGTAGAGCATCGATGTGCGGACTGAAAGGTCCCAGGTTCAATTCTGGTCAAGGGCATGTACGTTGGTTGCGGGCACATCCCCGGTAGGGGGTGTGCAAGAGGCAGCTGGTCGATGTTTCTCTCTCATCGACATTTCTATCTCTCTATCTCTCTCCCTTCCTCTCTGTAAAAAAATCAATAAAATATATTTTTTTAAAAAAGAATGTTAATAATATCACTCTAGTATGTGAGAAGGATTAAACATGACAGTATATATAAACATCTCTTGTACATATATTTTTTTAAAAAACTGCTACACAGAGTTTATAGTTGTTTTTATAGTTTTAGAAAATACCATTTGAGTGTTACATGCAGCTGCTGATGCATAACAAAAAAAAGCCAATTGTATTAAATGTAAGAATAGTTGCCATAATAAGGTGAATTTCAATTTTAAGATAGTCTTGATTTTATTCACCAGTAGCTAGAGATCTTGTTATTTTTTAGATTAGACCAACCAACAAAAAGTAAACATTCAGAAGTCAGTAAGTTCCTCTCGTATCCTAAAGTAAAAGCTTCCTCACATGTATTGAGATCCAGGCTTCTCTATCTGGGTTGTGCATGAGCTCCCTCCAATCCCTGAGGCAGCCAGGGAGAACATTCCTGTGGTTCTCACTCACTTCATCAAAGTCATCCAAGTTTATAATTTAGAGGCACTCCTTGTGAATCATGTAAACTGATGGCTCATGTTCTTCCTTTTCAGGGATATGGGAAGGAAAATTCAACGCAGGAGAAGACATTTATGCTTTACCTGGCTCTGATGTCAATCTGACCTGCCAAACACGGAAGGAAGGCATCTTGGTGCAAATGCAATGGTCCAAGGTCACCAAAAAGGTGGACCTCATTGCCCTTTATCACCCCCAACAATATGGCTTCTACTGTGCCAATGGGGTTCCCTGTAAGTCACTGGTGACTTTCACAGAAACTCCTGGGAATGTGTCAACATGGACTCTGCACTTAAGGAACATGTCCTCCTCACTCAGTGGGAAGTATGAGTGCAGTTTTATTTTTTACCCAAAAGGCAGTCAGACTAAAATCTACAACCTTCTCATTCAGAAAAATGGTAAGCACAAATATGTATTGTGTGCCAACTATGGGCTAAGCATGGTACTAAGTATGCAAAGTTGAACAGAAAGCAGTATTGCTTGTAAGGGAGATAGAAATTGATCAAATAATTCCACCAATAAATGTAAAATTGCAACAACGACAGCAACAAGAATTGCAATGATCTTGTGAGAAAGCATATAATAGCTGTCAGGGAAATTGTCTCTGAGAAAGCAACGTCCAAGCTGAGGTCTAAAGAAAGACTAAGTGTTCACACTAGTCAGAGGTAGGAGGTTAGAGAGTGACCCAGAGAGAGGCAACAGCTTGTGTGAAGGGCTTTGCTGTGTCTGAGGAAATGGGAAATATCAGTGGGACTGTGGTGTAGAGACTAGGGGATGAGGTGTGAGATATGGTAAGGGCCAGATCTTATAAGGCATTGTCATCCAAGTTTGAGGTTTTGATTTTTATCGTGTGAAGACATTGAAGCCTTTTCAGCAAATGATGGTATGACATTTATAGACTCATATGATCATCCTGACCTTAGTATGAGAATGAAATGAAGGTGGATAAGAAGGAGATACGTACTGTAGACAAATTAGGAAACAGTCTTAGGAGCCAGAGAGGAGACAGAATGTTGTTTGGGTTGATATAAAAATAAAAAGATTGAAGAAAGAAAAAGAGAAATTTTATGCACTGGGCATAAAAGAGACATGACTTGGTAATATAAGACAATTGCAGTGTGATGAAGGAGAGAAAAAAGTTGAGGTTGCTATCCAGGTGTCTGGCACACACACCTGAATGGCAGTGCCATGTGCCAAGATAGGAGGAGAAAAGGATAGAGCATGTTTGTGGAGGAATTAACAGAAGTTCTCGGATATATTTTGTACAGGGTAGCTAAGGGTGCCAACAAGGCTGCTGAACATGTAGAGTTCACACAAACATGCTTTGGACACCTGCTCTGCAGGCAGGAGTCCTAGGCTTAAGTTCTAACTCCTTTATGGCTAGAAATGAATTTCACCAGGGATCTGTCATGTTATTCTCTGAGTCCACCTGGAAAATCATCATAATAATTCCCACCATAAAGTACTTAGTCATAAAATCGATTATTCCTATTTCTACTAATAAGTCAACAAGTGAAAAATGCACTGGAAATTGAATGTTTTTAACTCAAGGTAAAGTGGCCTAGTAATACAAGAAAAAAACAAACAAAAAACAAAATAATTCATGAAAGCAATGCTAAGGGTGGCATAGAACTGCCCATGACAAGCAGGTATGGATTTATTACCTCCTCTCTATTTATTAGCAAGAAATAAGACCATGGGATTGAAATTGTCCACCTACAGACTAGAAACTGTCCACCACCTTACAATGCTCTAGTCCCATTGCTGTTTGTTTTCCATGAAAAAAAAAATGCAGTTGAGTTCAATTGGGGATAGGTGGGGTGGGATTGAGTGAATAGAAATAAGGAGAGCATAATTTATGCATTGGGGTCAGGCAGCTCAGATTTTAATGTTAACTCTGTCATTCACTATATACATCATCTTTGCCAAGTTATTTCAAGACTCTAAGCTTTTCTTTTCTTATATAACAAACATAATAAGTAATTATAGTGCCTCCTTCATAGATACCATTATTTTGATGATTAAAAGAGATAATCTATTTGAAGCACTTAGCATGGTTCCTATAGAAGGATACAAGTGTGGTAAACGGTAGTTTTCATTAAGTATAATACAGTACTGAGTAAATTATTTTTCAATTCTTATTAAAAAGGAATCCTCCTCCCTCTTTTTATACTGGCCTATTTTGAAACTCAAGAGTATATTTATTATACGTGAGCACACATACAAATTGACCTTGGCTTAGACATAGATTTTTTTTTTTTTAACTCTGCATAGATCTGGAAACTTATACTATTACATATCTGAGGACTTACTGTTTACTCTTCAAGATTGGCAACATAGATTGATATGGCTCTAGGAAATAGGATACAGATCCTATATGAATTATGATGTCTTCAACATGAAGTCAGAAATGGAAAAGAGGTAGTATGCTCTCTAAAATGAGGAGTGGTATTATTGCCTTTAAGGAAAGTGTGTTTCTAAAATAAAGGGTAACCGTTACCCTTTGTTTGTTTTGTAGCTACCCAGTTGTAGCTACAAAACAAACAAACAAACAAGCAAACCCCCTCACCCCCACCCAAAACATCAATAGAGAGACAGAGCCAGGTCTGCATCCTGTGTGGTTAGAAAATCCCCAGTCTTCTGATTTAGTTTAGCTTTGCTGCTGGTCAGCTGGATTGGATGAAAAGCAATGGCCTCAGTGTTAGGGAGATGGTTCAAGTACTGTGTATTTAAGTAGAAAGGGGGGAAAGTAGAAACAAGGGGGAAAATTCTTCACTGTGGAGGGACTAAAAATGTAAGCCTGGCATAGAGCTAAGGGTAGACACTTCACTCAGAGAAGGCAGTTGCCATTCAAAAGCCTGGTCGGGGCCCCCAGCACAATCATAGATTTTTCCTCCTTATTCTTTTGATCTCCTCTCACTTCTATTCATAGTCTTGCCATTTCCCTCTTAAATCCATGAAAGAGTTAATTGGGTGGGCAAAGCACACATGTATTGCAAACATTTATGATGTACATAAATAGATGCAAATTGAAGTGACATATAAGAATCTAAATATGAAAATGCTGAGAAACCAGAGGCGGTTGAGACCTCTTCCTGTTTCCTTTCTGTTGTCATATGCTTTATTCCACCCACTCCTCTGCTCACACCTCAGGGCATGCTAACTCCTGTCCCCTCTTCCTGGAGGGCCTCACTGAGAAGGGATGTTTTTCTCTTTTCTCAATATTTCATTCCTTTGTGTTAGTCACTGCTCTGAGGCTGTGGATGAGGGTAGAAATACAAAAATAGTTAGGTGTTTGCTACTTCAAAAAATATATATTTGTATTGATTTTGAGAGGAAGGAAAAAGGAGAGAGATAGAAACATCAACAATGAGAGGGAATCATTGATTAGCTGCCTCCTGCAAACCCCCTACTGGAGATCAATCCCACAACTGGAAATCAAACCATGATCTCCTAGTTCACAGGTCAATGCTCAACCACTGAGCTATGGCAGCTGGGCTGGTGTTTGCTTCTTATTAATTTTTACTCAACCAGGTTTCCCCTTAGTTTAGGGGCTTTCATGTTATTGATATAGATTGTAAGATGTTGATGCATTTTAAAATTTGTAGTTATTAGGATTCATTATAAAAATATGTGACTTTAATTTCCCAGATTACAACAAAAGCCTTTGAGGCCTTTTACCTTTAGTCACCTTGCTATATATTAGCTCCCCAGAACTTATTTATCTTATAACTGGAAGTTTGTACTCTTTTACCTCCTTTACTCATTTTTCCACTCCCCTACCTCCACCTTTGGCAAGCACTAATCTGTTCTTTGTATCTCTGATTTCATTTATTTTTCAGATTCTACATATAGGTGAAGTCATACAGTACTTGTCTTTCTCTGTCTTATTTCACTTAGCATAATGCTCTCAAGGTCCATCCATCCTACCCGAATGACAGGATTTCCTTTTCATGGCTGAATAATATTCCATTGTGTATTAGAACATTTCCTTTACCCATTTATCCATTGATGGGCACTTACATTGTTTCCATATGTTTGGCTATTATAAATAACTAAAGGCCTGGTGGGTCCCTCAGCCCAGCCTCCACCCTTTTCCAATGCGAGATGCCTCTGGGATGTCTGACTGCTGGGTTAGACTCGATCCTGCAGGGGCCTAAACAGGCAGTCAGACATCCCTCTAGCAATCCAGGACCTATGGCTCCTGACCCCTTGCCTGCCTGCCTGATCGCTCCTAACTACTGGCTTGCCTTCCTGATCACCCCTAACTATTAATACTTGCCTGTCTCCTGATCGCCACCTCTGCCTAGTCCCCCAACACGGTGGCTTTGTTCAGAATGACATTTAGAATGATGTCCAGACAGTTTAATTAGCATATTATGCTTTTATTATTATTATAGAAGCTGCAATTAACATATGAATGCAGATATTTATTGAGACAATAATTTCATTTCATTTAGATATATATCCAGAAGTGGGATTGCTAGATCACATGGTAGTTCTATGTTTAATTTTTTGAGGAATCTCCATACAGTTTTCTATAGTGGCTGCACCAGTTTACATTTTCATCAGCAGTGTACAAGGCTTACCTTTTCTCCACATTCTCACAAATACTTGTTATCTCTTGTCTTTTTTATAATAGCCATTCTAACTATTACAAAGTGAGATCTTATTGTGGTTTTGATTTGCATTTCCCTGGTGAATAGTGATGTTGAGCACCTCTTTATATAACTGTTGGCATGTGTATGTCTTCTTTAGAAAACTGTGAATTCAATTCCTTTGCCCATTTTTAAATCAGATTGTTTGTTTGTTTTTGTTATTGAGTTGTATAAGTGTTGCATCCCTTATCGCATCCCTCATGGTTCAGGATTCCTATTCAAAATCTGGTTCCTGGATAAGGCTGAAAACAATTGAAGAGACTGGAAAAGAGTTAATTTGGGAAAATGGGGGGCCAGGGGGGAGTTCACCTCTAGGGGGAGAACTACCACTGCTCTGGCCTTTGCTATCCCTTTTTATTGAGGCTAGGGGAAACACCCATATCCTTTTGGCAGGAAATTCCAATAATAGACAATCAGCAAGAATTTACATATTATTAACAGGTGGAGGTTGCTTTAACTCCCAAAGTCTCAACCAAACAATGAGTGAATAGCTCCTACTATTCAGAGCAATTAAGATTGGCCAGCCTTTCAGATTCCCTTTTCACATTTCTCTATTAGTGACAATGTTCGGTTTCGGCAACTCCCCCCAATTCTTTCCTTTAAAAAAAAATCTTGCATCTGCAGACCAGAAATAAACATATAAGAACAAAAAATATTTGAGTCCCAATTTCAATGTCCAAAAGTTCTGAGTCCAAGTTTCAATGTTCAACAGTTCCTTATGTGTACATGTCAGCAATGATATCTGGATGGTGGACAAATGGTAGCAATGCAGGCCCTACCATCTCTGGTTTGGTCCTGGGCAATCTGCAGTGATGCACAGCTGCTGACTGCTAGCATGGCAGCGTCTTCCATCTCTGAACTGTTTCTCCTCTTGTTTTCATGGCTGGAGCATTCCTGTTAATTCCTCTCTGTTGCAGGAATCCACATGGTCTTGGAGTTGTTTTCTGAAAATATACAAACATATTCTCAACCAAAAGTTAACAAAGGAATCTTTTCTAAAAATTTTACTTGGGATCCTTTTATTTTTTGCCCAATTTTCCTTTGACTTATTTTGACACCATGTGTGTTTTCCATGGGTATCTTGCTGTAAGTATTACAAATGAAAATTAATTTTCAAAGAAAAAATTTTTGTGTAGATGTAATTTACTTACAGGATATTTTTTTCTTACATGGTATTTTTTCACTATACCCCTCTTTTTTAATTTAATTATTAGAAGGCTTTTGGAAAATTTTTATAATGCAGTTTTGATAACTTTAAATTTTTTGCACAAAAATATGACTACTTTAGGTTCATTGCATGTTAAGCAATTTTACCATGAAATGAACTACCAATAGAAATTTTGGTTAATACTTTAGAAACAGCTTTTTGTACAATTAAATTTTCTTGAATATTTACTTATTTTAATTAGCCAATTTAAATTAATCTGAAAACTTGACTACTATTTTACTGTCAAATTTAATACTCAAACAACAACCTTAGTTTACATTGTAAATATTAATGGAAAGGATTATTTGCATCCTTGAGAAAGTTCTAAACATTCCTGGGGGTAGCCTGTATTTAGATATAGGGCAGTTGCTGTCAGCCACATCTCTGTTGCCTGGGTCCCGATCTGAGCTGGGCCAAGTCTCTGTTTGTTGTCTGGGTCCTGATTTGAGCTGGGTCAAGTCTGTTTGTTGCCTGGATCCTGATCTGAGCTGGGTGTGGGAAGTGCAAAGCAGCCATGGGGACAGGAGACCTCCCTCAGAAGGGGCAAAGGCTTAAGCCCCTGCAATTTTGGGGGGTGAGGATCTGTGCCCCACCTCTGTTGATCCCCAAGTTTTCTCCTGATGGCCTCTCTGGGACTGTGCCTGTCTTAGGTTGTTCCTTCCCTGAGAAATCTTACCCATCTTTGGCTAATCAGCCATCTTCCGGAGCCAAGCAGGCGATGTGAGGTTCAGTTTTGTCTCCTTGGTAGCCTATGCCCCTGTGGCCTCCACACCCAGCACCTGCCTTGCGATCCCCTCGCCTGCTGGAGGGGCCCCAGCATTAATCACATATCTTGGGGAACCCAGGATTCTTCTCCAGGGAGGGCCCATCTCATGCCATTGGGCAAGACAGATTCATGGTACCAGCTACTGCAAGGCTTCAACCATAGCAGGAACAGAAAGCTCAGGCAACAGCTGTGGGAGGATCCCTCTTGGCAAAAAAGAGCAAGAAAGGCCAATATAGAATGCTCAAGTGCCTTCCCAGGGGGCCTTCCACATAGTGGAAGGGATAAAATCATTTCATGTCCTTTTTATATTACTGCCAAACATTCAAAAAATTGGTTTGTGAGTTTGTTTGGGATAATTGTACAATATGCTGTTGTAAAATATCAAAAATTATAATAACATTATAGAATAATATCATGTAAAGATATTCTTTGCTCTAAGCTATGGCAATTCAATTTTAAACTGGAAGAAATATTTAGAAATATTTAGTTATTTCATTTTGCCCCTCTTAGAGGTCAAACCTTCATAGCATTTAAAACATATTTATTAATTTTTATTTGATAAGGCTTTCCATGCAATTTCAAGTATATAAGATCTGTTAAATTTAATAAGATTTCCTTTAAGAAGAGAGAATAAATTTCTTGTATTACTCAGAGTCCTTGGAGCTTTCCAAGAATCATCTCTTTTAAGACCTTGAAATTTTAATATGGAAAATAAATAAACATTATATATATGTCCATATCCATATATGGTTTAAAGATTATAATATTTATTATTATTATTATCTTAAGATAGTCAAATATTTAGCATTTTGTCATTTAAAAATATCTAAACCTTTAACTTTATTATTTATATAATTAAGCAAACTTCCAAAAAAAGTTTTGCCAAACCAGTTTGGAGGAAGTTTGTAGCCATTCGAATGCAAATTACCACCTTCCTGAGCATATTGGGAGAGTGGGCTTCCACATTGGATCTCCATGTGTCTCCCTTCCTTCCCCACATCCTGCTTACTTTGGGGGAAGTTTCAGCAATGGATCTGGCTGAATTTCTTTTTATACTTAAAAGATAGACAGGTCTTAAATTTTTTCTTTATTTTTTACTTTCTGAAGTAATAACACCCAATTTGGCCAAGATTTGAATTTCCATGAGAGTTCTTTTATAATTTTTAAACAAGGCCTTAAGTAATCTCATTGCAGGAGAGCAGATAGCCTTGCCCTCTCCTACCACCTTTGAATTTCTCTGCACCAGAGGCAGAGAAATTTTCAACAATGGAGTTTCACTTCTTATTACATATTTTAAATTCCAAAAACAAACTAAGATTTTAATTTGAACAAGAAACCACATTCTTTAAACATGCAAACCAAAAGTCTGTAATAATAAAGTTTACTTTATATTTATAACCTAATTCTTCCCCATTAGCCTGGCTGAAAAAGACATTCCCACCCTACTTACAGTTCTTGACTCTGCAGCTTGCCATGGGCTTTTGTGTGCAGTGAACTTCCCTCACCTTTGTCGGGTGAATTTTCCACACCTTTTCTTGGTGTAACTTTTTTCCTTCCTTTGCTCTTAGGTGAAAAATATCTTCTCCTCCAGATGTCCCTGTTCGGGCACCAGATGTGGGATCACCTTTCACATCCCTCGTAATTCAGGATCCTGGTTCAGGGTTCAAGTTCTGGAGAAGGGCCTCACACAAATGAAAAGAGACTAGAAGAAATTTAATTTGGCAATATGGGGAGCCAGGCAGTAGTCCAACACTAATGGGATAACTACTCACTGCTCTGGCCCTGCTATCCCTTTTATTGAGACTATGGGTAAAACACTCATAGCATTTTAGGCAGGAAATAACAGAAATTTACATAGGACTAACAGAGGTGGAGGCTCCTTCAGCTAACAATGTCTCAACTAAAGAGTGAGTGGTTAGAGCAATTAATGTTGTTGACAGCCTTCCTGGCTTCGTGTCCACATCTCTCTATTAGTAAAACAGTAATTGGTTTCTGGCGGTGGTGTGGAAGGGCTGTGGACAGTTGGCAGCCAGCCTTCCCAGTTGAACTCTGGGTCAAGGGGACAATTTGCATATTAGTCTTTTAGTATGTAGGGTTATTATTTGATGTTTTAGTATATATACACTAAAACATCAAATAATATTCTAGTAAGTATATAAAAATATATTCTAGTATGTGTATAAAACTTTCCACACAAAAAGACTATAGCCAGTTATTTATCTCATATCATTTTTAAAATGAAACCAGTGTGTTAATGATGCTTCCTTAGATTTTCCTTATGTTTTTTTCTGTATCATTTTTTACTTGGAGGAATTTATAAGCTCTATAGAGACAATTATAAAACAGGAAAAATATCAGTGGTTGACAGGAGTTTGGTGGGAGGGAGGGATGAATAGGTGGAGCATAGACCATTCTCAGGGCAGTGAAATTGTTCTGTGTGATACCACAATGGTGAACTCGTCATTATACATGTCTTGATACCCACAGACTTCACAACACCAAGAGTAAACCCTAATGCAGTTTAGATAATAAAGATGAGTCAGTGTAGGTTCATGATTGTAACAAATGATGTACTGCTGTGATTAGAGATGTTAATAGTGGCGAGGTTTTGCAAGCATGGGAGCAAGGGGAATATGGGAACTCTCTGTACTTTCCACTCATTCTGCTGTTTGAGGTTCACAGACATAAAAATATTAAGACTATTAAAATTTTAAAAGACAATTATAGGCTAATATTTAATGTTTTACATTCTATCTGATTAAGGAAATGTGATCTGAAGACTAAAGCATGAATTCAGGGGGAAAGCAGAGGAACATGTCACATTGTGACCTTAATTCTTTTAGGAAAGAGCCCCTATAATTTTTCAGTGGTAATTTTTCATAGTGACTTTGTTTTGCCATTTACACAGTAAGGACTCTAATGGGATTTCTCCTCTTTACTTCATAGGTTTACCCTGAGGATGGATGAATCTTTATGTTAAAACAGTTCTCCTTTCTTTGATAAAAGACACTTTATAAACCAACCACAGATCAATGTCTTTTCCACCTTATGTTTTGTTACAGTTATACAGGAAGAATGGAGAAGCAACAATACAATAGAAATAGAGATAAATCAGACTCTGAAAATACCATGCCTACAAAATATGTCCTCTGAAATTTCATCTGAGTTCACCTTCACATGGTTGGTGGTAAGTGCTGCCCTTTTCAGTGAATGATCTTTAAATATTAATGAAGTAAAAATGAATAATAAATAATAATAAGGAAGGAAGCACATACTGGATGAGGGACAGGTATTATGTGTCAGGGTGGGAATGGTTGTGGGGAGACACTCAGCAAGTCTTGGGGTCTATGCATGCACTGATTTAGAAATTAGTTTCTAAAGGTTAGTTCCTATTTCAAGCTATATGTCAAGCCCCCATTACAGAAAAGTGTGTGATGGTGCCCTGGAGAGGAGCCATCTCCAGTAGAAGCCCCTACTCACAAATGTTTGTTTTACAAACAATGTATGCCTATGGATAAACTCCCTTTTCTCAGAATGCTTACCATCACATCCTGGGAAATACACAACATTGCTGTATGAGAGGAAACATAAAATCTAATGCTTGTAAAATACTAGGGGTACTAGGGGCCCAGTGTATGAATTTGTGCACCTTGAAAGGAACTGTGGACCACAAGGCTGCAGTGGGCACAGAAACAGTTCTTGGCCCATCCACTGTGCCCCTGCCCAGCCCCTCCTACCATGGCCCCTGTTCCCCTGTCTTCTGGCAGCCCCACTCCCGCTGCTGCTGCTCCCAGGTGACGAAAGCACCAGCCCAGCTTGCACCCTGCTGATGATGCTGAACCATTGTGGCCTGCACTATCAGTGGGTGCAAGTGGCAGCTGCTGCCCCATCACTCCTCAGGAGCAAGTGGAGATAGAGAAGCCCACAGGGGTGGTCAGGGCTGGCAGCTGCCACTTGCACCTGCTGACAGCTCTGAGCAATCAGGACCAGTGCACTGGGCAAAGAATTTTTAATAACCACCACACGCTCACCCCTATGACAGCACCCTGCCTTGGTCTGGTGCTCCTATTCACCTGCTCCATCATCCTGCTGCAGCTGACACCCACCACATTCCATTCCGTGCACAGCTGCCTGCTGCTGACACCCACCATGTTCCACACACACACACACACCCGGTGGTCAACACTGTCATAGCAACCAGTTGTTCAGTTGTTCTGTTGTTTGGTTCCACTGCTTGGTCTATTTGCACATTAGGATTTTATATAGATAGATAGATGATAGATAGATAGATAGATAGATAGATAGATAGATAGATAGATAGATGGAAAATATACCTGATAGAAAGAGGAACTATATTACAAACAGCCACTGGCCAGCTCTATTACTGCCACAGGGATTGACAAGCCTATAGTTGCCTTGTTTTCTCACTTCAAAAACAAATTGAGAAATCTGAAATTTTATGAGAAATTTTCTAAGCCAATCAAATGGCAGCCAGCTGTTAGCCAATATACATAGTTCACCTTTAATGCTGTTAAATCAGATAATGTTACTAGACTGAAAGAATATTTGCCTAAGTGCATCAAAGTCCCATAAGACATGAACAAGAGTTTGCAGCCAAGAAATTAAGGATTTATTAAGAATATGGTGCCATGCCCAAAGTCACAGGTCGTTCATGCTCAAAGACCTGGCTCCTTGCTGGTGTCCAGGGCTGGATTATATTGGGGGTGGGGGATGGGGGAATCATTGATCATGGTGACTAAAGTAGCTAGGGTGTGGTCTCTGCTGATTGGTGGGTGCTAGAGTAAGAAGTAACTAATCATTGCATCTATTCCTGATGTGAACCATGGAGGTTGTTCTGTCCAGTTTCACAAGGATTTGTTCTGTAGGACTGTTCCATTTTCCTAGGTCCAAAGCTAAAACATAACTGAGGTCAAGATATTATTATTATTTTGATTGAAAACTCTGTCTCTGTAGTCAACAGAACTGGACTACTGGATGATGACCAGAATTCATTGTCCTGGGACTTAATTATTAAGCAAGGGGAGGGAGGTAGATGAGTCCAGGCACTGGCTGAGGCCAGTTTGTATCAAAGAGGGGGAAAATAAAAATAAAGAGCAAATTAAAAAAAAAATAAGGTTAGACACTTCTCCAAAGAGGATGTACAAATGGCCAATAGATGTATGAAAAGATGCTCAACATCACTAATCATCAGAGAAATGCAAATTAAAACCACAATGAGATATCACCTCTCACCTGCCATAATGGCTAGCATCAATAAATCTACAAATAACAAATATTTGAGAGGATGTAAAAGAAAGGGAACCCTTGTGCACTGCTGGTGGGAATGCAGAATAGTGCAGCCACTGTGGAAAGCAGTATGGAATTTCCTCAAAAAATTCAAAATGGAACTGCCTTTTGACCCAGGTATTCCACTTCAGGTATCCTAATCACCAATCAGAAAGAATATATCCACCCCTATGTTCATGGCAGAATTGCTTACAGTAGCTAAGGAACATCCCAAAATTTCCATCAGCAGATAAGTGGATCAAAAAGCTGCAATACATTTACACCATGGAATTCTATAAAAAAGAAGGAAGTCTTACCCTTTCCAACAGCATGGATGGACCTGGAGAGTATTATGCTAAATGAAATAAGCCAGTTAGAGAAAGACAATTACTATATGATTCCACTAATATGTGGGATCTAATAAAAAAAAATAAACTGATGAACAAATGTAACCAGAAGCAGAAATACATGGAATGCTAGACTGGCTGGTGCCCAAAGGGAAAAGGATGGAGTAGTGATTGGATAAAGAAGATGAAGGAAATAGCTACAGAACACCTATGCATATTCCATGGACACAGACAATAATTTGGTAAAGTCCAAGGAAGAGGTAGGAAGGAGAGGGTGGAGGTAGGCAAAGGGGAAAAGTGGGAGTGGAGGGACTCCTGCAATAATGTGAAAAGAAGGTTTCTGCATTGTTACAATGACACAAGACCAAAGCAATTCTAAAGATAATTATAAAGATAATCATAAACATAGTTTTGGTAATCACAACATGAGTGTTCATTTAGATCCAGAATATGATTACATTACTTTTTAGCTTGTCATCACAATAAAAACACAAAATTTAAAAATTCTTACAGAATCATAGATATCCATGAACATAGCAGCTGAGACAGTTTGCAAAATAGTGTATTTGCATAAGTTATCATTCATATTTCAAGTTGACCTAGATTTTTGTGGACTGTCTTGGAAAGTAGACCCTTCCTATAAAAAGATTTCTAAGGGGGATGTGACAAACCCAAAATAACTGACTTGCTAGTAGGCCTTAAAATACAACCTACAGATAGTTTCTCACTGGCTACATATTTTTTGGGTAGTCAGTAAAAGGAAAGGAAAAAATATTCTAAAATATCTTTCTCATTGTCCTAAATTGTCCAATGTCTCTTCGTTATCGGTCAGAAAATGCTCTTATCCTTTCGTAGCGTTTGATTTTTAAAATATAAACCTTCCTGGGCATGTTGCCTATGGTTAGTATAACTCAATTGTTCTTAATAAATGCGATACAGTTTGGTTCTTAAGAAAAGGCTTTGAAGAGGAGAGGACCCCGGGAGGGCAGAAACTTACAATACTAAACATTACAGCAATGGAAATGCACTTTCTATATGTTGGCTTACATTTTTAATGTTTTCCACATATAGGCAAAATGTTTCTACCCCAATTCTCATAAATTCAACTAACAGTGGGGATAATAAAGCTTAATAATAATAAATAATAAAGTTTAGTAAATCTTCACTATGGAGTTTTGGCTGCCTAGTAAGTTAATCTGTAGTGTTTTATCTTATCTTTAGGGTGTGTGATCTGTTTTTCCAAGCAAATGTAAAGCCTTCACTCGATCAGTGTCCTTTGTGTGATCATGAGCTTCTCCAGGACAAAAAGCTGCATCACTCACTTCAAAAATTCTTAGCATTTGGTATATATAGTGCCTAGAACATAGGCACTCGGTGAATAATGGGACAGCTCTGTGTCTCTTTGTCTCCTTCCCCCATAGTCCTACTCCATGTCCTCGTATTAAATTGATGGTCACTAAATTGATGCTGTGCATTTGATTGATTAATGAATAGCTGCTCATTAAGTGTCGGTGACTTGATAAATGGTAAGGCATCCTTATCTAGTAATTTTCTTTAAAGAAATGAAGAAGACTAAATAGACCTCATCTTTGGATCCTGCCAAGAAAGGATAAATGAGGGGCAGAGAGAGTTCACCTAAGGTCACACACTGGGAGAGTGAATCCTAAACTTCTGCTAGAACCTCAAGCCATGCTCTCACTTTAAACAATGCATCAGGATGCAGAGCTCCTGAGGTATCTTTTTGAAAGAAACCTCTCTTCAAAGGAAGTATTGTATTGGCAAATGTGCTGATTAAATTCCTACTGTGCATTCCATTTTTAAATGTCAAAATCTATTTGCTCTTCTGATTTACATCCGTGCTCCATGCTGTTGGAGGCTGCAGGATTCAGCCAGTCTGATATGAAATTATCCGATCTCCTCATATTAAGAAATAAACTGCAGTACTTCATGCCATGACTGTTATAGGTCTGCAGAGGACATAAATATCCTCTCCGATCCCTATTTTAGTTCTTTAATCTCTTGTTAAACTAGCAATAACAATCACAACGATATAGCCAGTTGTCCTCACAAACATATAACGTGTTTTTTTTATAAAATTCAGAGATGAGGGAGATGAGCTCAGGAGGACAGACACCTGCTGTAATGAACTCAGTAGCTCCAAGAAGCTGTGCACGCTCCCATTTTCAGGTCTGCATTAGAGTCTGGAAACAATTTTACAAACTAAAATTATTTTAATCTAGGTCACTAGAAAATAAAAAGTATAGGTAGAGTTTTATAGCATCTAATTAAATCAGTTATGACCCTCTGTTAAATTAGAAAATCATTTGGTATATGTATCTGATCCCATATGAAGGCTGTGCTAAATATGTTCATGGGCACATCCTTTGCATTTGGAGGAGTTACTTTCCAGAATTGTGACTACACTGAAGTAGACAGGCACCAGGCACAAATAGGGTATCCAACATTGATCTATCATGGAAAGTAGCTAAGTGAACACAAAGGGTTAACCCTTCAGTGGAAGGTCTAGATGAATGGCAGGTGATCCATTAGAAATCACACAATAGATGGGATGCAGTTGGTAGAAAAAGGACAAGTTGTATCTTTCCCGTTTTATGTCCTGGGGCACAAACACACATTCATCAGGGAAATTCTGCAGGCTTGTTCTGGGAGCTTCTACACATATCTAATATTCTGTTTTTATTCCAAACCATCATCCTAATTTCCCACAGTATAAATTTTGATTCAATCCAATAAATATATGCAAATCTGTTTGGGGTACTAGGTCCTGCAGGGATACAAACTATATTGGACATATTTCCTACCATGAAATGCAATTTTGATTAAAAAATTGTTTTTAAAAAGAGGGAAAATAGTTTGACTCTGACTAGATGGACCTGGGGAATCTTTCAAAGATTATGTTTGAGCTGAATATTAAAAAAAAAAAAAAAAAAAAAAAAAAAAAAAAGACAACAGTTGACCAGCAAATAACAGACATGTACTAAAACCCTGGGACACATGAGTACAATTTGGGAAGATAAAGGGCAGGAGGAAATATTTGTTCCCAAAGTTGTAGGTAAAGAGAAACCCATGGTTCTTCTCTTTAAAATCACAACAAGAAGGACAGAAATATTTCAGCAAACAGTTTAATATTAGCGATAAAGGCATATAACTAAAACCTAGATGCTGCCTGGCTGGTGTGGCTAAGTGGTTAAGTGTTGACCCAAGAACAAAGAGATTGTAGTTCAGTTCCTGGTAAGGAAGGGCACATGCTGGGAATCAATCCCCAGAGCGGGATATGCAGAAAGCAGCTGATCCATGATGTTTCTCTCTCATTGATGTTTCTATCTCTCTATCCATCTCCCTTCCTCTTTCTAAAAATTAATAAAACATTTTTTCAAAACTTAGATGCTTATATTTTTTAAAAAATTTTATCTATAAATGTATCTTTATAGATATACTATTCTTTAACATTTCTGATGTTTTATAGCTAAATAAAAGGTAAATGGTGCTAATAAACAATGCTGTTTTCCTTGCCTATGAGAAACCTAGCAATTCAGAAAACAAAATTTCCGCTTTCTACCTGATGACAGTAGCCTCTAGTTGTCTTCATCATAATCAGAATTAAAGTGCTGGCCAACCTACAGTTGTGATTATTAGAAAAACAATGTTCTGGTGCTCTACAGAGTGGACCTGGGGGCTTCACAAGCAGCTGCTTGGACAGCACTAGCTGGATGGAGAATAAATGGGGGCCGTGAAGATAGGAAGCAGTATGGAGTTAAAGAAGTAGCAAACAATACAATGAACAGAATTTATTGAATGAGCTATAGACACTCAGCAGCCACCATGTGCTGTAGTCAACACCACTGGCTCTGACACGGAGCTTGTGCCATCCCAGGGATGAAATAATGTCATGAAATTAAATAGTACCAATGTCCCTTTTCTGGACTGGAAATTCTAATTCTAGTACAAAAATAGGAAAGCCTCCACCATTCATCCCCAGGTTTGTCAGATCTTTAAGGGACACAGGGAAGCGATGTTTCATGATTCAATATGACCCCAGCCAGCCCTTATCATGGAAATTATCTTATCTAACTCTTGTATATAACTTAATTATATGTTTATTTCTCTTCTATGGATATGGGGTATGGTTTTCTATTTGTTTTTCTTATGCATTAATTCTTCTCAAATAGCCTCTAAGAAGACAAGACAAGGATTGTTTATCCTACTACATTTGTGAGGCTGTATATATTGATAGCAAAATTATTAACAGCATGACCTTGAGGGAAATTATTTTTTCAAGTCCTGGTTCCTCCATTTACTAGTTATGTGGCCTAAGAGCCAAGATTAGGGTAAAAAAAGAAGACTCATGAAGTAGCTGGTTGATCCTCAGTGAGGCTGGAGGATAGCTCGTATTAATTGAACATATACTGAGTGTCAGGACTAGTGTAGGTATGCCAGTATGATCTATATTTCCCATTAAATCATAGGGTCCATTAAGTTGGGAGTCCATGAAAGTTGTTAAATTTTTTTCTTAAAAGAATAAGAAGAGAAAAACAGACAAGAATAAAGACTATATAATAAGACCCTCTTACCAGTCTGTTTTCTGCTGAGCCTAAGATTATCATTATCAGGTGGCAGCTGAAGTACACTCGATGGCTAGAGTCATAGGGTATCTAACTCCCAAGGGCCCTTTCAATCAGCAAATTGTCCACACCTCTGTAATCAACAACCTATATAACAGCCTCTGGCCTGCAGGGATTTCTTTAAATTTTTTTCTTTTCTGATAGTCCTGGAAGTGGTTTGTTTTGTTTTGTTTTGTTTTTTGGTGTGTATGTGTGTGATGGTTTGCTTTTCATTAGTGTGTGTTGTCTCTGAGGCTTACTTGTCCTTGGTCCCAGGCATCCCTGCTTTTTTGATGCTGCAAAAAAGCCTTTGTAAGTGCCTTCTTATTTTGTGTGACCTTTGAGCAAGTTACATAACTTCAGTTCATTCCAGATTGTTGTAGAGAGTAAATAAGACTTGGAACAATTTTAACTAGTGCCTAAAACAGTAGGTTCTAAATAAACTTAAGCTATGACTAATAAGAATATATAATTTTAGTAGTGGTCATAGCATGATATTGGTATTACTCTCCCTCTACTGAGTCTAGATATTTAATGCTTTACTGCACTAGTATTTTTCTGCCTCTCCTCCCATTTGCTCCATGAAAGTAGACACCCATGTGCAGTCTTGCCTTGGCCCCTTTATAACTGGGATTCTAGATTCTTTCAGGATCTCTGACTGTTGTAAGTTACAAGGCACAACTTTGCAACTGAATCCTATCTTTCCTAACAAAGGAACAAATCTTTTCCTCTACAACAGTCAACTGCCCAGAAAAAACACACAAATGAACCCTTGAGCAAATTGGGATTCAGGGGGGTTTGTTTTGTTTTATTTTTTGATATCTTTCCTCCATCAATGAAACTAGCAGGGTTAGTCACACCCAGCTACACAATAAAGGAAAAAGCAGGTTTCCTTGCCAGTCTCCAACCTCCAACCAAGTGGCCTCTAACTGCCCTTCTTCCCACAACAGAGTGACAGATGGAAATGTTCCGGGTGGCTAGTCATTTACTAAACATCAAGCAGCATTTTGAATTCCATAATCCTCAATGAAACAGTCCCTGTGCATAAAGCAGGAGCTATAAAATCAAGCTTGTTGGGCTGGAGGACCTGCAGGGGGAGCCTGCCTCCTTAATTATTGGGCTCAAGGTCTGCAAATGCTGAGTCAAGTGCCAGCCAATTCTTAAGGCTCCTTTTGGAGCCCTTGTCTCCAGAATATAAGCTCTCTCCCTTTAACTTTCTGAACACTTCTTCATTAAGAAGACAGCAGGATAGGCACATAGGTCCTTTATGTTAGTATAAAGGTGTGTGCATTGCTTCAGGAGTAGGTTTTAAGCAGGGTATGATATATACATGTAATTTGTAAAGATGATACCAATCCCTGCTATAGTTATTTATAGAATTGTTTCTTACATAAGAATTTCTACTAAGTATATTCTGGAAATATCTATATAAACTATTTAAAAAGTCTACGTTCATGTTTTCACTGTTTCTGCTCCTAGCCCATACTTGAATTCTCTCACTCATCTGCTTCCATTTCTTTCACCCTGAATGTGTCTCATTTGTTGAACCAGAGATTCTAAGTCAGAGCATTATTTGCATTATTTCATGACTTCTTCCCCACCAGATGTATTAATATTTCTGTTCACCTCACCCTCTTTAGTTCCCTCCATTTCCCCTGGCCCCTGTGCATAGCATCCACCTGTTGTTTAGAGTTAGACCCGTGGTTCTCAGCCCCGCCCCTCTGAGGGTCTCACCCCAGAACAACTGAATTCAACCCCCAGAGGATAAATTTGTGCATCTGAGTGTTTTCAAAGCAACTGAATTGAGCATGTTGTTATACTAAAGGCTATAAGGACATACCCCTCCCTTTATCCTGTGCCCCTCAAAAGTCCCCTCTTCACTGGACCCTTAGTCAGCAGAATGACTGACATGGGCCAATGCTGTGACATCCCCAAAATCTTGTCCATGAAAATAATGAGGTGGGCAAGAACAATGGGGGCTTTTCTTCACACACCCAAGGAAAGATATGGAAGAGAGGAAACAAATACTCCAAATGATCTCTGGTCTCCAACGTTCAGATTAACATTACAGCCTCCTCTTCATGTGCCCTATTTGAAGGCAGCACAAACACAGAAATAAGGGCAGAAGGGCAAGGTCCATGACAAGGTGGGAGTGAGGAAAGGAAGTGCCTACAGCATAAAAATTAAGGAGGCGCTCACACTCAGGTGCCCAAGGGTGCATTTACAAGAACCTTTTGTGCCCTAGGAATCTCCTTACCTCATCCTAGTCCTGGCCCTCAGAGGACCTAAATGAAAGCTTTCTAAAGTTATGCTGGGAGAGAGGTTGACTATAATTATCCAGTTCAGTTGAAGATTTTATAGGCAAAACATAAAGCCTTCTCAGCACACCTTGCCATTAAGATTTCTGAATTTGACATGAGAATTGTGATCTGCCATTAGCCCCCAGTGCTGTGTGCCTCTCCCCCCAAAAAATGCAGTTTATAGGGGATTCCAAGGGGGAGTTCTTAACAGAAAAGAGTATCTGTTCATATTAGAATAAATTGACAATAGTTTTTAGCTGAAAGTCAAGAGTACTGATACTTTGTCTAGTAACATACTAAATACCTCTTCATTTCAATCCTTCGTTCATCTCTCTCTTTTTACAAGATATAAATTAATACTTGTGGAATACCTAGCCCAGAGCTAGCCTGCTTGAGTGCTCAATGACTGGTATCTATTCTTCTCACCAGGAAGACAATGGAACTCAGGAGACACTTTTCAACCAGAATCACCCCATCAGCAATGCCACGGCATTTAAAGACAGAGTCAAGCTAGGTGCAGACTATGGGCTTTCCCTCTCTCCAGTCCAAATCCACGACGATGACCGGAAGTTCTCTTGCCACGTTACAGTCAGGCCTGGCACAATCTTGAGGAGCTCCACCAGGGTCAAGGTCTTCGGTAAGAATTTTTGTTCTCTGGACTCCCTGCCATCCTGCCATCCCCGTTGCCTGCCTCACTTTTCCCCCTAGAGAGGAAGCAGCCTGTGATCTGGAGTGCAGCCAAGCAAGGCTAGCTGTTCAGGAGGAGTTTTATTTACCTTGATACCTGCCTTTCGTGTTGGGGCTGGGGAGGAGGATAAAAAGTAAAAAGAATACCGATTCTGTTAACAGATTGAAATCACACAATTGGTCGGTTTCCTGGTGACCGCTCCCTTACTTACAATTTTAATATTTCCTAAGAATGCTGGAAATCTCTTTAATTATGGCTGCCAAAATATAATGGCTTAGCTGCCTAATTGTCTTAGTTGCTTGCTGGAGCAAGACAGAATAAGGCCAGCGTGAGAATAGGAGGATGATGAAAGGAGCTCCAGAGATACTCTCAGGGCATTGCCCCCACACCTTGCCAAAGCCAGCTGGAGTGAATGCAGGCCAGCTCCTCCAGCCAGGAAGCCCACAGGAGGGGCCTCTGATTCTGCAGGGTCCAAACAGGGTGGGGGATGGGGGATGTGAAAATTCTATTTTGTTCAGCGGTGCAAGGAAATGTTAATAAACAAAAATCCCTAGCTTTGAATATTTTTCTCATCTTTGTGACTAAGAACTGTGCTTTTTAAAACAGCATTTCTAAATTAAGGCAAAGAGAAAAGCAGTGATGCAAGTGAGCAATTAATTGATTTTGGAAATGAGGTAAACGAAAAGAAAATAACTTTACAAAGCATAAGTCACGACTGACATAACAAGTAAAAAGAAAATCTTTGTTTTTACTTTTTTGCTTACAATCTCATTGCATTATGATTAGAGGTTACACAATTCAATATGTTGAAGGAAATGCCAGCCCTGCAGTTCATAGATGGAGTAGCTACAGCCAAGATTAAAATAGTTTAAAGCCTCTTGCTTATAGTCTTCTTCTATCTCTCCCTCCTGTCCTTCTGCCTCCCCTTTTTCCCCAGATCTCCCATGCACAGGCTGGGAAATAATCAATCACCCCTGATGGCCAGGTTCCTTATGGAGCCCAAACAACATTCTGTGAAGAGTTGGGAAAGACTGTTCATCTCTTTTATTGATTATCACTCTCAGCACACCTACTGCGGTGTGACTGTCTTAGCACAAACATGAAACCAACTCATCTAGTCTTACTATTGGCAAATCAATGAAGGCAGCCATCCAGAATGTGCAAAGAAATATCAATTCTAAATAAGGCAAACTGTGTCCCTTTTGACCAAGGGTTTTTTGCACCGTAACTTGACTTAATTGCTTTGTCAAATTACACTGTGTCCTCTTTGCTGCATAAAAATGCTTTCATCTTGGTCTTGATCGCTTCTTACTTTTATGTCTCACTTTTCTCAACCTATCTATCTGTATATCTGTCTCAACATTTCTGTTTCTTCTTTGAACTGCTTTCAGTACATGCTTAAAAATAGGAGATTCTGCCTCCTTGTTGATATATTTAGATTTTCCTTGGACTTTCTCCTTTACCAAATGGGCCGGCTAGGTTGTGTTAGAAAAGTCTCATCTAGTCTGAAACTATTTGTGGGTGTCACCCGAACATATATTATCATGGCCCTGGCATAGAAGCACAATACATAGTTCATTTAGAACCCACTCTGAATTCCATGGTTAATCCTCAAATAGATGAAGCCAAGAATAAAAATATGAAAACCTCAAAATAAATACCTGGGTGTACCACAGACCCACTCTACGTGCCCCAGATCTAGCTCTTTCCTTCTTCCTGACAATGCCTCTACTCTCTAACAGACCAAGGATTGGAAGTTTGCCTAGCTCCTGCATCTCCCTCACTCTTCTTCCTTAACTTTCCTTTCCTTGGTGGTAAGTCACCTGCCATCACAAATTCCTGCTCCTCTGCTCTAAATCAGATTGTCCTGAGATTCAAAAATAATCTCTATCACCCTGCAATTTTTAGTAATTCTTCTTTCTTTGGGGTCCTTTATTCTACGGTATTCGTTGCCAATAGGAGGTCAGAAATGCTCCTCCTCACCTCAGTGTGTTAGGGTTGTATTTTGGTTTGGGTTCTCCTGAAAGAAAACAAGGAGAGGACTGGGGTTGAATTCATCTATTTGAGAGGTAATCCTCTGAAACATCAGAAGAGGAAGGAAGATAATAGAATGTACTCGATCAAGCTGTGGGTTTAGAGCTCGAACCCCTGGGGAACTCTGGAAGAACACACATCAGAGTTATCCCAAACAAAGGCTGGGAAGCTGGGGTATTAGCCACAGCTCCCCATCTGTTATTGCCACAAATTCTCTGGGATTTCTTGTTTGCCCTGCTTGTGGACTCAGTGTGCTCCCCTAGCCCCAATAAATCCTTAGGAGAGTATCACATTTGCCTCTATTTAGTGAGGTTTCTCAACCAGCAAGTAAAGGCAAATGTCAAGTGGATTTGCAGGCATTAATAGCACCTGTGATAGGGTCTTAATATTTTAATAATATTAAAAATGTATTAACGTCTGGTTCATAGATGGCTTTGTCTGCTGTACTCAGGAATTTACTTGAGCCCAACCAGTGTGGCTCAGTGGTTGAGCATCGACCTATGAACCAGGAGGTCATGGTTCAATTCCCAGTCAGGGCAGATGCCCGGGTTGTGGGCTCCATCCTTAGTGTAGAACATGTAGGATGCAGCTGATCAATGACTCTCTCTAATCATTGATGTTTCTATCTCTCTATCCCTCTCCATCCCTACCTGAAATCAATAAAAATATATTTTAAAAATTTAAAAAGAATCCTTGCTGGTTTGGCTCAGTGGATAGAGTGTCAGCCAGCAGACTGAAGGGCCCTGGGTTTGATTCTGGCCAAGGGCACATATCTAGATTACAGGCTAAATCCCCAACTGTGTGTGGGAGGGAACCAATTGATGAGTCTCTCTCACATCAATGTTTCTCTCTCTCCATCTCTCCCCCTCTCTTCAACTCACTCTAAAAAAAATAATAATAATAAATTTAAAAAATCAATGGGAAAATATCTTTGGGTGAAGATTAACAAAATAAAATGAAATTTAAAAATATTTGTAAAGAACTTACTTGAAACCACTTAAGTTTGAGATGATATACTTAATACCTACTTTGGATTGGACTCTGTTAAGAGCTTGAGATGAAAAGATAAATAAAACAGTCTGGCTTTGAGGCACCTATAATCTAACAGGATAACAAAATCGTTGAAATAGTTCCTAATATTTTCTAGTACCATACAACTAAAGAATAAAGTATCTTTCCTGTTCTTTTCAGAGGCCTAAACTTTATACTGCATTTCTGTCCCTCCCCTTGTCCACAGGCCCTTGTCACCTGATTCACTAATTATCATGATTCAACTATCAATTAGATGTTGCAAATTCCAAAAGCTTCCTCTTATTTCCTGAGGTTGAGTTAGCAGTTTCTCTTAAAAGCTTTCTTCAAATCCTATATGTCCTCCATTATGGTACTTATCTCAGTGTTTTATAATTTCTTGTTTATGTATCTGTATTTTTCCAGGAAAATATGAATATCTTTAGCACAGTGAAGATTATTTGCCTCCCTTTGTTTCCTAAAAATCTAACATTCTTCCAGGCATACAGTGAGTGTTTAATATATTATGAATGACTAATTTCTCTCTCTCTCTCTCTCTCTCTCTCTCTCTCTCTCTCTCTCTCTCTCTCACACACACACACACACACACACACACACACACACACACACTATAGCCAGGTAAGATGGCATTACGTGCCACTAACTGTGTTTTCTTTGCCTTTAAGCTAAGCCAGAAATCCCCGTGATTATGGAAAATAACTCCATGGATGTCTTGGGAGAGGTGAGTCACATTAAAGCCTTTGAAAATTTATGGAATAACATGCCGAGGTGTGTTAGGTTACTTTGTTGTCCAGAATATTTTCCCAAAGGATATTATTCTTTGGCCCTCAGCCAAATAATTTCTGGTGAGGTAGAAGGGAAGCTGAATTGATTCTATAAACCTAATGGGCATTCTTACTTTCTGACTTGAGGCTCTCAAAGTATGTGATCTGTGGTCCTGAGTCCTTATTTTTTACTGAAATAAAAAAAAAAAAAGGTCTCAATAGCTTAAATTTTTTTTTTTAATAAAAATTGAAGTAGATACTGAAGGAAAAGTAGGGCAGAGAGCAGTGTGAATCCTGGTGAAAGAATGAGTTTTATGCTTAGCTGACAGTTAATTTGTTCAGAGCCATTTCCTGTACCAGCTTTCCCATTGTTTTTATTTTGGAGTTAACAGGAATAAACCTGTCCTTAGGTACCCCTCAGAATCCTGGCTATTTCGTAGGCAGCAGGAGAAAGGGCAAGAGAAAAGGGGCAGTAAAGTAGACCCTCTGACTTCAGTTCCTCCTAAGTAGTTCCCAGCCTCTAATCACCTGGAATCTGAGCTCAGAGCTCACTTGCCAGCTCTTCTTTTTGCTGTGACTTTAGGCAAGTTATTTCACATCTTTGTAGTTAGTGTTCCCAGTCATATGGAGGGGATTAGATGAGTATTTGCACATTGTTGTTGTTTTTAAGAATTAAATGAAATAACCTATGAAAAAATTCTTAGTATATAGTGTGGCATATATTAATTGCTCAATAAATATTATTTTGTTGTTTTGTTCATATTACTATTATGTATGTTAATTAACTGTGTTGTTGTATTATTTTTTCTTTCAAGTTTTTCGTAACTCCAAATAAAAAATATTTTCATTAACTCTTCTATTTCCTATTACATGGGATGAGAGAAAATTATACTTATATTCTAGTCTCTTCTAGTCCCAAGAACATTAAATCACTTATAATTTCTAGTCCTGCTGAATATCAGTCATGTAATTTGACAGTTGAATTATAGCTCAGACTCTGTGGAGTGGTTTTATATGAATATATATTACCCAAGAATTTGTGTCTTTTGCTGACTTTATGTATTAATCTCAGATCATTGCTATTGAAGTTCTGAGCATATAGAAAAATATTTTAAATTATTTTATCAATTAATTCCCACTTTTATCATTGGACTTCATTTCATTAATTTAAATAAAACCACTAATCTAGTGGTATAATATTTAACAGGTATTTTGTTTCTTATAAGGATTTCTTGTAGGTTTTTGGTGCTGGTGTTTATAGTTACTATTACTCAATTAGATATGTTACCATCAAATTGGACCCCAAAATTCCAATTTAAAAAAAAAAGACTTTGTGTTACATGTTATCAAATTTCTTCTATACCAAGCTTGCCTAGGTGCTGAGAGGGAAAACAGGAGACCTTACTTCCTGGGGAATTAGTGAATAAACTCTCACTAAATCCAACTACAGGACATGGCTTATCTATGGGTCTTTTAACATCTTGCCAACATTAATGATTCTTCCCTCTGATATTCTTATAATCAGATTGTATTTTCAATTAGTTATGAACTCTGTAAAACCCTTTCACACACTTTCATCATGAGATGCTCCCAACAAGCCTCAAAAAAAAAAAAATGTAGGATATCTGTCATTTTACAGACAAGAAATTGAGGCCTGGAGAGTCTGAACAACTGGCTGAGTCATTATGAAAGGGCCAAGCTGGGATGAAAATTTAGCTTGCCCATATCCAGGTCAGGTAGTACAGTGAAAGCAGTCAGCTCCAGGGGCAGGTAGAACTACTGTCAAATCTTAATTAGACCACTTATTAACTACATATCCTCACCAGGTAGTTAACTCCCATAAGTCTCAGCCAACTCACCTCACCTGGGATCATAATACATATTTTTCAGGGTTTTTAGGTGAATTAAATTTATGCACAGTAATGAAGTACATGGTACATGTTAAATGTCTCAGGAATATTTCTTTCCTCCGCAGTATTTATCATTCATTCACTCTCTTTCACCCATTCCTTCCTCTGCATTTATATTCATAAATCTACTATGTGATTGAGACAGTGTGGGATAATGAAAAAAATGGAACGTAGGTTGTGGAACCTGATAGATCTGGGTTGAATTCGTATCCATCACTTATTGACTCTGGACCCTGGAATCTCAGTTTTTTGGCTTCCTCATCATTGATCCGAACCTCACAAGGGTGAGGTATGGACCAAACGGTGAACATATGCAAAGTATCTGCCATTTTGCTACGTTAGGTGTTGGGCAGTGGTAATTTTCTATGCCCTCCCTTCATTCCTTAAAAATTAATTCTAAGTCAACATGAACATATTAAATGCCTACTATGTGCTACATACTACTACACAAGTGGCACTCAGTGTTAGAGCAATGGGCATTTGGTCAGTTGTGAGTAGTGTTTTCCAACATTACTAAAGTTATAACATTTATGGTTAATTTAGTTTTTCTGTAAGATAGAAAATTTCCCAAATTATTGTAACAATGATGCCTCTCAGGCTTAGACAGGCCAGGGATGTCCAAGTGTCACACCTGTGATGGCATGTTCTTGTGTGTTCCTGAGTGGGAGGTTTCACCAGACTTCCAATATGGCATGGAGCCTCCCTTTGTAGCTGAGATGGAAAAGGGACCTTCAGTTTAAACTTCTGGATTCCACCATGTAGCAGATTTTTACGTTAGAGCAAAAGGTGCTGAGCCAATGAGCCCCTCAGCCCAGAGCCCCTGGCCCTCTACACCCAGCTCCAATGACACAGCAAAAGAAGGCACAAGAGAGATGCATGCAAATTCCAGAGCTGACTCAACAGTGCAGTCTCTCCGCAAGCCCCATGTCTCTCCTTACTTTAACTCAGTCATCTCCATAGGTCCTGTTCTTGTCACTCTTAACCTTTGTTATGTTTGACAAAATTTAGGTGGGGGGGGGGGGGAATATAAAGAAAACTACCTAACATGAAACAGGAAACCAAAGCAGTTGGGCTTAAACATGTCTAAAGAAGAGAAGAATAATAACCATATAAAACAGACACCATAACCTAAAAACACCTATCAGAAAAGAAAGCTCTAGTTGCTATTTACAGAAGTTGATATTTGTTTATTTAACCTTGGTTTTATAAAATCCTGAATCTTTGGGGATTCCTTGACCTTCCTAAGAAACATTCGTGTGTGTGTATGTGTGTGTGTGTAAGATTAGGTATTGAGGCTTCTTTTCTTTTTTTTTTTTTTTTTTTTTTTTTTTCCTAACATATTGTGGCACAATAAGTCTCTGAGTCCAAATGTCTGGTCATGAGACTGCCAGCCACCATCTTCCTTGCAGTGGTGAGGGTTTGAGCTTCCACTACACCTGGGGAAGGCCTCAGAGGGAAACCATACCCAGTGGGGAAACCACATGGGAAGTGAAATCTTTAACATCAGTCAGGCTTCTAGGGGCAGGGGGGGGGATAAAGCTATTTATAGGACTGCATTACAGCCTGGGTTTTCCACAAGCCTGGTGTTTGAACTTGTGTTTGTTCCATGAGAAGCTCATAGAAAAGACGAATCTGGTTGTTAGAGCTGTTGGTGGAGTCTAAGAACAAGCAATAAGAAGGAGCCATGTATGTGAGGATTGAACAAGGCAAGACACCATTATTATATGAGGATCTTGTCCACTTTCAGGAAGCAAAGTGCCCATAGAGTGCTTAGACTACCTACAAGATAATAAAATGCTTCTACCTTTATCTCCTCTTATCTTTTCCAGCTTTCACCATTCTGTTTTCCCTATTCCCAGCCCAGTTAAAAAAAAAAAAAGGTTCTAGAGGAATCATCCAAAGCAACAGTCAGCTCTAGCTCAAAAACCAGAGTAATTTCCACCTTGATTTTATTCTGTTCCTGAGTTAACATTTTAGGCATATCTTTAGCAAAGCAGGGAATTTTTCTCCTCCTATAGACCATTAGTCACCCTTTTTTCAAAACATCTCTGAAAATTTCATGATGAAGAGTTTTAAAAACTCTGAGAACAATTGATGGATATGCAGTTAGCATTTCAGAGGTGGGAATAAAATCCAAAACTTACTGCTCAAATGGACAAGTGCTCTGAGTGTTCTGTGGAAAGAAAATAAAAGCAACTGAACTCATTAGAATTGACCTCAGAATTTAACAAAATGTTCTCTGTCCTTCACTGTCCCAGACAGTCATGGTCTCTTTTATGTTTCTGTGGTGAATTTTGCCTAGGGAGCTGTCTCTCTTCTCTTATCTTTTCATGTTTCTTTATCCTTTTTTCTTTCGTTTTAACTTTTCTGCCTCAGGTCTATATTTTTTTTTTATTTACCCATCTCTCTATCATTTTCTTTTTCTCTTTGGGTTTCTTTCATCTCTTCTTCACTAATTCCTTCTCACTTAAAAGACCTTAATATGAGACTAGATTACATTTTTAACTATTTATGAATACATTTTTTAAACCTCACCTGAAGATATTTTTCCATTTATTTTAGAGATAGTGGAAGGGATGGGGAGAGACACAGAGAAAGAAACATTAATGTGAGAGAGACACATTGATTGGTTGCTTCCTGCATGTGTCCTTTCTAGGGCCTGGGATTGAGCCTACAACCAGATTATGTGCCCTTGACCAGAATCAAACCCCAGATTCTTCAGTCCAAGGCCCAATGCTCTACCCACTGAGTCAAACTGGATGGTCTTATGTCCTCTTATTCTTAATATTTAATTCAAATGAGTTATAAAGTCTTTCATTCTCTCTGCACTAATTATGCATTAATCACTTCTGTGTTAAGTTGTTGAAAAGACAAGATTCAGACAGATTAGAGTGATGGAACAGCTTTAATATAAGCAGGTGTCAAAGCACTGCCACTGTGGGAGAAAGGTATACATTGGAAGGGTCTGGAGACCTCAGGCTCAAGCTTCTTTGTCCTTCCACTGCTCAGTTCCACAGAACAAGCTTTGTATCCAGTCCTCAAATAAC